TGCATTTATATCTGTAGCATGCCTGTTTGGAACCTAGCATGGCTCTGGGGAGCTTCCATGGGGTCACCCATGTACATCTTGAGTTCTCATTTGCCCAGCGGTCCTAGGATAACTCAGCAGTATAATCAGGATGCAAATTTCAAGAAGTGCTATCGGGCAGCAGCTTGGTGATCTCTCTTGTAAAATAATGTTCTTTCAGGCTTTTTCCGGTGGGTTCCGAAGATTTATGAGGAATGAAAAGATGGTAATAATCTAAAGCTTACGGAGTTTTAAAGGACTACAGATGTAATTGATTGTTTCAAGTAGAATTCCTTTTACCCTAGAATCCCTGTGCATGTTATTGATCAATCACATGCAGTTACTTCGTGAAACTCTGTGGGAATTTAGAGAAGTTCAAGTCATTCTTTACTGTCGTGCTATCTTTAAATGATTTAACTTGATTTTAATGTGCCAATTATTTTATTTCAGATTGTAATACTCTCTTTAAGAATAAAAACTACAGAAGCAAGAGGAACACTAAAAATTCACTCAAACAAATTTCCAAAAGATATCATAACTTTACTAATTTTTCCTTACAGGTATAAATTAATGTAATAAAAATTTTAATTTATAAAAATTAATATAACTTGTGACCTCAAATTACCATTTTTCTCCGTTTTCCACTGTGTCGAAATATAAAATATAAGAAAAACTGTGCAGTGACTTTACTTAAAAGTGTTCGAGTATGTCAGATACATACATGTTGATCTCAGTCTCTTAAAACCACACGTAATTGCAAGAATGCTTGTTTACAATAGTCACTACCAAAATTAGATGGAGATAGGTAAAATTTTCAGGAAAAAGATACAGAACACTATGTTATAGCTTCGTAAATGCTGAATGAATAACATGTAGTCTTACCCTGAGACAGTTAGCCCTAAATGTCAGCATAGGGAACAGGGGAGGAAGGCATCAGCTCTAGATAGTCCTGAGCTTTCACCTGACAGTAGTGGTGTCACCATGCACGAGAATATTCCTCCTTTCTCTTGATACTGCTGGCACCAGTATCATTGTGAAATGGTTAAATAAATTCATGGAGAAAGGACATATAAAGTGAGGTAGAATGAGGGAACAGAATATTAAAGAATCTGCTCATGTAATAATTATCCAGAAATTTCTGATAAAAATAATTTATAATTTTCATATATATACAATGTATATATGAAATTATTTTCATGTCTAATACAGTATATACTTTCATATGTATATATTATAGTTTTGACATAATAACACAGTTATACCTTGAATGAAAACTTCTGTTATATTACCTTTCTGCTGTTTTTAAACTCCTCATTTAAAAAAATTTAGTAAAACCAGTTTTCCATGTTCATGAGGCAGTGTCCTGGAATGTTGAGCAGTCTGGTACGTAAAAGGAGAATTGGGAATAATTGAGTCCTATTTCTTTGTTCTGACATACATTTAGAGCATTAACTCTAGCTGGGTTATTATCAATAAATTTATTTTTCATCTCTTCATTTTAATTTTAGGTAAGAAGACTTTTCTCTGTCTTTCCAGTAGCATTAAGGTTACTATGTAGTTTTAGGAATAAAAATACATGCTGTGGAGGAAAATCTCTTCCAAGAGCAGATGGCCTTTGATATACTAAGGTTTTTGCCATTTGTTTTAGTGCTTAAAATAAGCATTATTTATAAGGCCACTTACATTTTGATGTTACTTAATGAGGAATATGCATCATTGATTTGACTAGCTTAAGAGGTCATTTAGAACTTACCCGTTAACAAGCTGTAATCTGCTGAGCACACAATGACTTTGTTTAAAATTATCTATTCAGACCTGATCAATGACAATAATTGTTTTATACCAATCACTTCTGAGAGTTGCTGATTATTTTGAAGGGCATGGATACTAGCTACTTAATAAATTTGGAAATCATAACCTATTCACCTTCAAATAAAGAAAAAATGTTATCAAAATTCATACTGCCTCCTGAAAGTGCTTTTTATAAAAAATGGAAAATTCATTCAGTAGTTACTGAAATAGCAATGGAAAACTTAGGCAAAACTGAAGATGTCATTTGTGCCAGTAATAGGTAGTACAGTAGAATCTCACGTTGCATGTTTTTATATGAACAAGCTACTGGTTAAACTAGACTAGCTTTAGTGTAAGAAAATGACATCTTTAAAATGAAACATGCTTTCTCTCTCTCTCTCTCTCTCTCTCTCTCTCTCTCTCTGCAGTCTGTGTGTAAGATGTCAGAGAGGGGCTTCAGAGTGTGATAAGACCCGGCCTTGTATTCTGACTCTGCCTTTGCTATTTACTGCTCATATGACCTTGAGTAAAGTACTTAACCTCATTTTCTTCATTTCTAACATGGAGACCTTGCCTTAAACAAGGGTATTGTGGGAACTAAAGCAGTCACATGATCCCTGGCACATTCATGGAGCTCCTCCTCTCCGCAGATGACAGCTGCTTCCCTCACTCAGATGCTCAGCTCCTTCCAGGTCTTCTCGCTGTCTTATCTTACACAAAGCCACTCAAACCTTGATTGATTGCACTTTAGTGCGGATAAGCTTTAATTTGTTACCTTAACTATCTCTTACTTATTATGCCTTTTGATACGCAATTGTGAAGGAAAGGATTTGCCTCGCCTAGATTGGGGTGGATGTTCAGGACAAAGGAGGGCTCCTTAGGAGCAGCCACTGCAGCCTCCGTGTGGTGTGCACTGATTCCAGTAGTCGCTGGGCGTGGAGAGAGAAGGCACCCCTTCCTCTGGCTTCTCCTCACCTCAGTTCAGGGAGCCCTTCTTACTTGATCACAGACTTTCCAGCTAAGTTCAGTTTTTGTCTTTGCCAGCCTCTTTTCTCAGAAATGGACAAACCACAGTCCTCGCACCTCTCAGTGCTCTGTCGTACTTCTTGGAAGTTTTCTGTCCCATTTTTTCTATTGTGTCTGACATTTGGTGGTATTTTCATGCCGCAGGGAGCTCCTCCCTGAGCACAGCTGGATGTCCCAATACTTCCCCTGTGCAACTTGAGCCACTTCTAGAGCCAGTGCCTGTGTTTACAGCTAACCCTTCTTTAAGAAGATGGTCGCTGTGTGTGCGCTGAAAGCTGCTGAGGCGTCTACCTTAGCCCCTCAGCAAAACTCGCTAGGCATCGACTTCCCCTTCTGTCCTAGAAAGCTGGAATAGGAAGCTAATAATAATCCCCTCCTCACAAGGATGCTGTAGGATTAAATCACATGAGCCGGGCGAATACTCATTTCCATGTGCGACTAACATATGAATACATACTACACTTGATGATTTGGATTCATTAGAAAATGGCTTGTATCAATTCTTACTGTTTGTCAGCCATGCTATGGTTTTGGTCAAATTAGAGAGTTTCTAAATGGAGCACTATATAATTTTAGAAAAATTTCCTTGTTAAGGAACATATCACTAAAATAAGATAATTTGAAAAATACTTTTGAAAAGCATTTTCTATTACTTTGTCACATTACACAGCTAAATTAGTTTTACTTTCTTGTCTCTGGTTTAGTTATCTTCACAAATTATGTGCTGAGAGGTTGACTAAAACATTTCCTTAAATTATCTGCATCTGATATCTCACATTGTAAAATATTTGCAAAATAACTTTTGACATGTCCTATGTTTGAAAGAAGAGTAGTTTTTTTGGGGGGGATACCAGGGATCGAACTTGGGACCTTGTACTTGCGAGGCTAGCAGCAGAACCACTGAGCTAAATCCCTGGGCCTAAAGCAGAAAAGTTTAAAAAAGCAGAATTCAAGAAAATAATTTTTCCAGTTTATACTTTTTCAATTCAGCATTAAGTTAAAATATTTTAAATTAATCACATTTTAGCTGAATCAGCAGGTGAATCATTCATATAGGCATATAAAACATTGGAAAATTTTATAGAATGGAGTTAAACTGTATAGAAAGCTAACAATATTTATCAATATTTATTCTTTTTTTCTCTACTCCTTTAAATAAATTCAAATATTTTTACCCATAAAATGAATGCCATACATTATAATTTTTGAGTTCATCTAATAGAGTTTGTATTAGCAAATGTAGGAGCTAAGGAGATTGATGCTCATAACTATTGGGCTTTATAAGAGACCTATGGACATATTTCAATACGTTGTCTTATATCCCATCACTCCTGTCAGCTAAAACAAGAAAAAAAACATTAATTATATGTTCTGCTAAGGAATAAAACTAATCTGAACTATAATAGTGGCTATAAAGAAGATATTTCAATAGTTTTCATTGATTGAAAATTGTAGTTTACTTTGTTACCAGTTCTGTAGTGCTGTGACTAAGAAAATGGGTTTCCTGAAGCCATGCTTTGGTTTCTGGATCCATCAATGGTAGCTGTTTAATTATAGGAAAATGACGTAACCTCTTCTTGTAGCCACTTTCTTGTCTATAAATGAGAGAATGAGTATTTACCTCATAGAAATGGTCTAAAGATTAAACGTATAAATATAAGCCAAACATTTACAATAGTATTTGGTACATAAAAGAACCCAATCATGTTAGGTATTGGTACTGTTAAAGAAGTAGTAAAATACCATGATTAAGATATAGGACAACATTATATTTAAAGATCCTGATGCTACTAAATGTTAAAAGGCAGTTTACATGGGAGGAAATATAACCTTCAAGCCAGTGGTTATGAAAAAGCCTAAAATCTATTTTATCAAGAAGTAAAAATGATGAGAATTCATAAGGCAACTTTTAAGCCTTTTTAATTGCTAATTTGACAGTTTAGTACTTTGTGAAACAATTAAAAATGTTTTTAAATGAATGATACCATCTATTATAGTTTTTCTCTTTGTCATATTTTATAATGAATCTATGAGTGAACGTTACATTTGCAGCTAATATACTGTTGCAGTAGTGGATATGAATTATTAGATGTAATTGCCTTAATTTTGAAGAACTATTATGTTGTTAATAAAAGCCATGTCTTATCTTTCTTTTACATCAATAGATTCAGAGACGATGGCGAGCCTATAAAGTCCGGAAATACTGTTTTAATTATTTTTATTATAAACAGTACTTGAGAGCTGTTTCTGAAGCCAATGAGACAGTTAGGTGAGTAATAAAACTACCAGTCTAGTTGTGAAAGTTTTAAGATTATTCAATAAATATTGATTATTACAATGCTTAGAAATGTGTTCTAAAACTCACTGATATTTGAGGCAGAATTTTACTGATAAGATATAGTTGTGATTCTATTTACCTTAAAATATATTATTGTTCTATATTAAAATATCTTGTACTCCTGGTGATTATTATTTATATTTTTAATATTGCTTATATCTGTAGCTATGATTCCATTTACCTTAAACATATATTATTCTTTTGGTACCAGGGATTGAACTCGAATCCATGCCCTTGCACAGCAGGCGGCAAAACCACTGAGCTAAATCCCTGGCACATATATTATTCTTATATATGTAAACATCTTATACTTTTGAAGATTATTTATGTATGTGATAATTTGAACCTATGCAACATTAGCTTAGATTCTATAAAATTACCTAATAATGAGCTGAGTTTATCTGTAAAATGAATCCTTAAGTATGGTAAAGCTTTAGATACATCTTGAGAAATACTCAGTAGCAAGAACTAACCTCTCAATGAAGAAAATGTCGTGAAACACACTAAAAGGGGCTGGTTTACTGTCCATTTTAATTTTTCTAAATACCCAGAAAGATAGAACCTGGATTTAGGATACAGTATATCTTTTGTAAATATGATGAGTAAAGATATTGCAGTGTTACTCAGTCAGCTTTTTCAAAGCTCTGTGTGCTGTTTTTCCATGACTGTACTTTAATAAAACACTTTCTGACCTCATGTGATATGGGCCATTCTAATGACGTATGAGTGCCCAGATCCCTATTAATACATTTGGAAAGGAAAAAAGGAAATAGGAATTGATAATAGTTGACATTTGGGCCAGGGATTTAGCCTGGTGGTTCCACCACCTGTCTCGCAAGCACAAGGACCTGAGTTCGGTCCCCGGTACCCCGCTCCCCCAAAAATAATAATAGTTGACATTTATATAGCACTTTTACTTTCAAATTTGTTTCACTTATTTATCTTATTTTACTCTTCAAGTTCCTTAAACTAGAGAGAATACTTGATAATGATTCATTAAAATAAAAGTTTTATCTGAAACCCCTAAAGTAATATGTATCATAATATATATCTAAAAACTAAATTCTCAACTCTCAGATTTCTCATATATGTTATAAATATAAAGAATTTGGTCTTTGGTGATTAAGTATGAGTAGTTTGTTAACTTGATTTGTTTGGAAAGAACAGTAAAGGACTTGGAAAGCTTCAGTGGGTTTTACTCAATCACAGGAGTTGGGAAACTGAAATAAATAGACCATAGAGGATTGCTATTTACTTCTTCTGGAGAAATCTAAAGTTCCTAGAAATGGGCTGGCTGTCTTAAGTGGCTCACTTGAGCTTGCATGGAGGAAAGACTTAGTAGAGTACAAGGGAGGGAGAGAAGAAATATGAGCAGGAGTGGAGTTAAAGAGAGATAAGTGATGCTTTTTTTAAAAAAGGTCCAGAACTGAAGGCAACACTTACTGTCAGTGTCTTTCAAATGCCAAGCCTGTGCTTGTATAGTGTTGAGTATGATCTTAAATTTTGGATTCCAGGGGTCTTATTTGCTTTGCTTTAGTTCAAGCCCTGAATAGGAGAAGGTATTAAAGGAGGTGAGCAGGTGGGAATGTGGTTTTGGAAAGGCCTGTATCTTCCATTTAACCAGTATTTCCCTTAATCCTGTTCTCATCCTGGTTCTAATGGAAATAGCTCTAGTCACTAGAAATGCTGGTGTATCAGTGCTGACAATTGGTTTTACATTGTTATTCTTTACTAAATTACAGAGCTCTATTCTTTTATATCTACTTCTTGGCATCTTTAAAAGCAAGTTGAATGTAACAACAGCTGCTTATTCATTGAAGCATTCCTTTTCACCCACTGACACACATAGAAAAATATTTTATTGATATACTAATACTCAATTATCAGTGCATTATAAACATACATCTAACTCAGTCATTATTCTTTGGATTTATCACTAACTTATATTACTATTTTATGGAGAATACTTATATCCACTTTTGTCAGGATAATTTCTTACAGTTTTCTTGTGTTGCAAATATGGGTTTTAGTATCATGTTTGTGCTGTATTTATTAGACAAACTGAGTAAATGATACAGCCTGGGGATTATTGTTCTTCAGAAGTTTAAAAGGAATGATTCATAAATTCTATGTCTAGAGCTTTTTGGAGAATGTATACCTTTAACATTTTCAAACCTTTAGTTAGGTTTTCATATGTCTCTTAAAGTTCATTTAAAAAATTTCCAAGTAATGATTTAGTTTATCGACATTATTAAAATAGGTCATCTTTTTATCTACAATAATTTAAATGTGTACTTGTTACATTCCATTTCTCATTTTTAATTTTGCTTATTTAAATTTTTGTCTATTCTCAAAATTATCAGACTTACCTATTTTATTGTTATTTTTACCTTTTATATTGTTATTTTTCAATGAACGACCTCTCATATTTTGTATTTTTACTTTTTGTGTCCTAATTATCTTGATTTAACCTTAAAAATCCCTTTGTAATATATGTAATACATGTTAATTATAGAAAAGATGAAAATACAAGTAACTTAAACAGAAAATCACCAGTAACTCCATCACTCAGAAACAGAAATTATTAAAGTTTTGATGTATTGAGCCAGGCGTGGTGGCACATGCCTGAAACTCCCAGCACCCTGGAAAGCTAAGGCAGAGAATCAGAAGTCTGAGCTCATCCCAGGCAACTGAGTGACTAATGAGACCCTGTATCAAAATAATAATTTTTATAAGCAGGGCTGGGGAAGTAGCTCAGTCCGAAGGCCTTAGGTTCAATGCCCAGAACCACACACAGACACACAAAATGTATATTTTTCTAGACCTCTACTACTTAATAACTGTTTGACTTTGGGAAAATTCCATAATTTCCCTTTTCCTAAATATTTTCATCTAGAAAGTGAAAAATGTAATAGAATGATGACATAAGCTTATCATGAGCAAAAATTAATCAATATTTTGACATGGTTAGGTAGTACTTGATATATGCATGTCATAAATGTTAGTTTATTATTTTATTTCTGTGCTAGCACATATAATATACTATTGTAACCAGGTGTCTTTCCCTTTGCAAAATATGAATATTTTCATATCAATAAAGACACTAATGTCATTTGTAGTAGCCTTGTTAGAAAATAAATTCTTTATTGTTGGACATGTTGGTGTTCCAAATTTTTGCTCTTTTAAACAGTATCTATTTTCATGGTGGTAGTTAATGGGGAATTTGTTTTAGTTCTGGTGATATAAATTTATTACTCTGTGTAAATACTCTGTGTAAATTACTTTTGGTAATCATTTACTTTTTGGTAATCAAAGAGTAGGCTACTACTTGCATCTCTGCAGTTTTTCCCGCATTCCATATATCTTGACATATAATATTCTCATTTTTATTTGCATTTTTATTCTCTTTGAAATTCATTTTTCAATCTCTAGTGTTTGAGCTTTTTCTTGTAGTTGAACCATTAAATTTATTTCTAGGTTTATTATGCTATCGTCAGAAAATATATTTTGTACCAAGATTACTTTAGGAGATTTATTGAATTTTTTTCTCCATATATATTATTTAGTGTGTACTAGAAATCAAATAAACGGATTTCAGTTTTCTGTCCATACTAAGTTGTTGCTTTTTAATTGACCAACAAAATCTTTATCTCCACCTTAACTGCTGTGCTCTTTCAAATTTCTCTCATTTTGCTCCATTTCTTTTGTTTTCTTCCTGTACATAAACTAGGATTTGTTTGACTATGTGAACTTTTCTTTAGACTTTATTTGGCTCATGACTCCTCTCTGCTCTCAGCTTTAACTCCAGCGGAAGTAAAAGTAGTCATTTTGTAAACGGGATATCCTTGCCCCACCCACAATTCATCTCTTAAATCCTCAACCCACACTTCGGGCTCTTTGCAGATAGACTTCAGTAACCTCTTGCCTGACTCTTGAAAGAAAGCATGGGCTAGTTCTCTTTTCTCCTAGTTTTTGATTTCTTCAAAACAGACCACATTAAGCATTATATCTCTGCTTCAAATCTGTTTGAGACAGGAAAGTAGGGTGTGGCAAAGCTGGTTGAGGGGGATGAGCACGATCAGATTCTAGGGCACATGCACCAAATAATTACCAAGGCCCTGTATATGGATCTCTCTCGGGTTCCTAATATGTGTAGACCAAACAAAGATGCAGATGCCCCTGAAAGCATGCCACCTTGGTTTTCCTCACAATAGCCCGCCCTGTGTCCTCCAGGGTGTACTTTATTTTTAGTTTCTTCTCTTTTATTTGGCCCAAGTTCATTCTACAGAGCCAGTTTCTCCCTTACTCTCCACTTTTAATTTTTCAAATACACTTTGTCACTGCTTCTGCTTATCTTGTTCAACTCTTTGTTCCAGGTGGAACAGAACCTGGAAACCTACTCCAGAAGGAGAGGCAAGAGCCCCCAAACCCAGTACCAGACTCAGCTTTGGAATGAAGTTGACTTTGGAGTGCAGTGCGGGGCCCTACTGGCTTTGCACTCTCCTGTCCCCATGCTCACCCGTACAGAGCTTCTTTCTTCCGAAAGCCCTCCCAGCCTTGCAGGTCCATTTCACCCACCTCTCTGGCGCACGGGGCTCCTCCATGTCCTTCATACTGCTGTTCACAGAGTTAGGGCTCCTCATCTGAGCCCCCAAAGACTTCAGCACCCTCTGGACCATCTACCCTGTGACATTACAACCACTTTCATCTTTCTCTTTGTATTATGAAAGCAATGAGAGAAAAGGGCTGACATTCTGCCTTAATTATCTTTGAAACCACAGAGCCTAACACAGCTCTGATACACACTAAATGAAAGAGTGAATAACACACGCTGCAAAACCCCATTGTACTTTTAACTTTATCCTATTCTGAGAATCTTGGTGGTGGTCTGTCAGTAATTAATGAATTCATTCACAAATATTTATGTAATA